CACACAAATAACAGAAACTAGCAAATAACAGCTCCCATCAAGGCTGAAGAGAGTCTGAGCTCCTTATTATCAGTTAAGTATACCAAAACATAATGCTAAAACATTCACTCATTTGGGAGAAAAACAGATCACTGGCATTTACTCCCAAGGAAGGAAATATACTGGAAAGAATACATACAACAATTAAAGTTTGATAGTAACGCTCAATATAGCTTGACCATATGTCCAGCGAAGAATCATATGTGTCCACGCTGCCTTTAGGACCCTCTACTGATACCAGAGAAAGAGACAAACGGCCTTGTGGGTTACGTGGCCTTCGTGTCCTGCGTGTACTACGTGCAATCTCAAAGTAAGATTGGAATGCACCTAAAAGAAACTGGTTACTTACATCACATGCATTTAAGAAAATATAATTTCACAAGCACAAAGAATATAAAAATTATTATGTGATAATGAATATATTTGATTATTGATTTTTTATAAAGGAAGTATAACCATTCAAAAGGATATATGATTATAGATGTATTTGAAGAGGCAAGGGATTTTGACCAACCCTTCAACGTGCCAAGAAGAGAAGCGACCAAACACCTCCACGTTTTCCCTATTTAAATACAGTTACACGAATAGTGTAACTCGACCTAAGACGGTGACACAGAATAAAACGTTGCGCTTTTCTAAGCGTGTAAAATGGATAACTACATTGTATGGCAGAATACCATAGCAAGTGCTTGGGAGCACTTCGACTCGGCGCAGTAATATCATCTCTCGTGAAAAGTCCGCTCCCGTTGAAATGAGAGGGAGGAGGAGAGGGAGCGGGGGGAGAGGACTTTTCACTCGAGGCCGAGGTCCTCCACGGCCTTAGTAATGAGGCGGAGAAGTTCCGCGTCGAAGCTAGCCCGCACACCGCTCGACTCTTGCAGGGAAGGGGCGGGGTCCGGAATGGAGCCCGACCATCCTCCACTCTCTGAGGCAATGAGAGAACAGCTGTCCTCTTCGGCGTTGTGCCCGTCGAACCCGTGTTGCACGGCGGGAGAGGTAGGGCACTGGCCGGCCGTGATCGAGGTGGGGGACTCAGGAGGCGATGCACACGGGGAGTTAGCCGGCGTGCATTCGTCCACAGGGATGACCTCCGGGGCTCTCTGTGAACGGCGCTTCTTACGGCGCGGCCTAGACGAGAGAAGCAGAGGGGCGGGGTCCACGCTGAAGGTGGCTAGTCGAGCCTGCAGGGTCGACATAGTCATGGCGTCGCATTCCGGGCAGCCGCCCTTGGAAAGCACGGGGTCCGCATGGTTGAATCCCTGACAGGAAACGCACAGGATGTGGCGATCCCCATCGCTGAGGGCGGCTCGGCAAGAGCCGCACTTCGAAAATCGAGGCATTTGAAACAACGCCTCGGCTCAACGCCTCGGAGAAGGTGTGTTGCGGGGCGAACACGGAATGCAATAAAGGATATGGGCGACGGATAGCGCAGCAGGAACAGTGGTTGAAGCGGCGACGAGATGGCAGGCTTCTGGTCTGCGAAGCAGATGGCTCGTCCCGCTGTAGAGCTCGTCGACGGCGCAGGCTTCTCTGGAGAGTCAGCGATGTGTACACTTCGCTGAAGAGATGAAAAAATTAAAGAACACCCTATCTGGACTCTGCTTATATAGACATAAGCCACGTTCATTCTGGCGGGACATGACGCGCATGGGCGCCCGCACCCTCATTGGTGCTTATGTCACGAACAGTCCCTCGATAGGTTGCAGCAGTTGCTGCAGAGCAACAAAGCACGCGAGCCGCCTTGCCTAGGTCTGCTCTGTGCAGCAATGCATTTTAAATTAATGCAAAATTAAGGATAATTTTTTGGCTTCAGTATTCACGAGAAAAGGGATTTTCCCATAGCGTAAGCTAGCTTACGCAACACGAGAGTACTCGCGTAAGAGAACTAGGTCACAGGACTAAACCAGGGGGGGGGGGGGGGGGGACACAGAACATACATGTCACACAGTAATGGACAGTTATTTTGTATTTAAGTGAAAGAATGTGAAGAATGTGCTCATGTTAAAATTATAGATACAAATCTAATAATTTAGAGGTAAATAAAATTAAAAAAAATATCTCCCAAAAATTTTATTAAAAATAGAAAAAAACACTATGAAAATGAAATGATTTAAGCTTTCTGGACAAAAACAAATTTAATAAGTATAATTTTAAGGCTTCAGGTCATTCCCCCGAGGGAAGGATTTTTTACAGATACGGGAAACAAAAGAGATCAGGTGGCAGTAATGCAACATTTTGGATGCCAACTGCCGTAAAACACCAAGGAAGAAGAAGAAGAAGAAGAAGAAGAAGAAGAAGAAGAGAATGGAAGTGAAAAAGTAAACAAGATGGATAAAATTCGCTACTCCTGTCTTACTAACCCACCACACAGGCACGTGCACAGGTAGGGCTCAACCTGTGCAGAGCACATGCCCTTTTGAAGTGCCCTTTTTTTTGGTGATGTTTTTTTATTTATTTTATATATATATAAATTAATGCTATTGGTCATCCTTTAAGTCTATCTGTCTGTTTTAAAAATATTTAGCAAATGAAAGATCTTAAAAAGAGCTTCTGTAAATCATGTTCGATCCTCAAACGGTCAGTAAAGCTGATAACTCCGCCCACTCTATCGTGACTGAATGAACTGAAGCTCCGCAGCCGCCGCCGCACAGCAGACAGCAGCTGAACGAAGTTTTGCAAGGGTAAACAAAGATCTTGTTGTTTGAATAAGTACTAAACACGTTGTCTATAAAAGCTCATATTTTATTTATTTGATGTCTGACTAAGATATGTGGGACCTGAGAGAGAGGACTATATGCTAACATTTGCCATAGTCATAGCCAAAAAGCCTACACTTAAATAGCCTGTGCATACAGCAGCATTTCATTTTTTATAAAATGCGATTTTGACCATTGTATTTTACAACAGGAAAAACTGAGCGCCTATATAGCTATAACAATCTAGTTGGTAAGCTGTTGATGAAAATGTAATGATGCCGCCGGCGCCGTTTCCATCGGAGAATCATAAGCACATGTGCGCCCCCGCGCTGTTCGTACTGGAACTACACAAATCGACGAGTGATCCTCGTCACATATATTTCTAAGAAATGTGTTCTTTGATTTATGATTGCTGCTGATACACTTAATTTATTAACATTTAATCATGTTATGGTAATAATATTACATTATGGTTAATTCAAGGCTGTTAATATGGACGTATTCGCTGTCTAATTCTTGGATCTATAGTATTTTATATACTCTCCGGTCGTCCTCACATGTATAAATGTAGTAAAACATGGCTTTACTACAGTAATGTTGTAGTAGTAACTAAAAAAAAAAACACACATTACAGAAGATCACTGTGAAATCTTCATATTTTATTATCCATAATGTAATTTGTGATTTCATTCATTCCCAGGCTTAATTTATTTGATCCAAAATAAGCAAAAACAGTAATATTGTGAAATATTTTTACAATTTAAAATAACTGTTTTCTATTTGAATATATTTTAAAATGAAATTTATTTCTGTGGTCAAAGCTGCCTGTCATGTGATCCTTCAGAAATGCTTTTCACTGCAACTGTACTTTTCACACTATTTTATCATTTTTTTATTGCTGGCTTATTTTATGGGAAGTGTAGTGAATAAGAGACCTTCAAGAGACCAACATTGGTCCTCCACAGTGTCAGGTTTTTGCCATCAACTGCAACTGTGGAGAGATCCTTTTCAAAAATGAGGTTAAGAACCAACCCCGAAGCCTTTGCTCAGAGGAGAGACTAGACCTTCTCCCCATAGCCATAAAGAGGGACATCACAGTGAAGTCATAAACATTCAAGCATGGCTCACAGAAGGTTGCTGTTGTAATATGGTTTAAAGAAGCCTTGAAGCCCTGTATATCTATATTATCTATATTATTATTATTATGGTTGTTAATAATAGTGAATAAATCTAAAGCTTTTGAGACTATTATTTTTTTTGTATTGAATTTGTCATGAAGATGTGACCATTTCCTCCTTTTATGTAGGCTTACTAAATAATCTTGATATAAAAAAAGGGAGGGGGGTGCCCTTTTTCAGTTTCAGCACATGCCCCTAAAAAGGTCTGTGCACGGCCCTGCCACCACACCACACCAAGTAAAAAAAAAAAAAAAAGAGGGGAGGGAGAGGGAGAGGGAGGGGGAGAGAGGGAGAGGGAGGGAGAGAGAGGGAGAGAGAGGGAGAGAGAGGGAGAGGGAGAGAGAGAGAGAGAGGGGGGGTTAAGGAATAAATTGAAGGGAACACAATGTCAATATGCTCTCTAAATGTAAAAATATCGAGGGAGAAACACAGTATTAGCAACTTAGAGTAATACACTTTATAGAGGAAATCCAACTTCCAACAGATATCCATAATTTATAAATAATTTTTTACAAAAAAATGTAGCTTGAATACCTCTGCTCCCCACCTCTAGAATATGGAAAAAAAATATTTTTACTGTACCCTCTGATCACACCGCAAAAAAAAAGTGATGTTCTTTCTGTAGGCTATTTTTGTCTTGTTTTCCAGTGCAGATGTCTAAAGATTCTTACATCAAGATACATTTACTTGAGATAAAAAATTACAATATGAAGTCTTGTTTTCTGAGAAATTGATTTAAATGAACTGAGTTTGTTCATAAATATCTGCCTTTGGGCTAAAAAAATCAACTTAATTCGGGAAGTTCATATAACTCATTGACAGAAATTTGTTCTTGAAAAAAATTCACTTTTTTAAAATATTTTTCCAAGACTTCATTTTACATTTGCATCTCAAGTAGGATAAATGTATCTGCATTGTAAAATATTGATAGATTTAAGATTTTCTGCTCTGATTCAAGACCCTTTTAAGGCCTTAATTTGTGCAAAGGTGAATTAAGACTTTTTAAGACCCGCAGAAACCCTGTCATGTTTAGAGATCCAAAACACTACATTATATTTAAGAGCCGAGGCGGGGACTTTTAATATAGTGTCAGACCATACTAGTACATTGATCGATTTCTCCTCAAATCGAGCCAAGCACGGTTAATTGATGCAGAAAAATGGAGCTGCTGTGTCTGCTCATACCGTCTTTCTTTCTGTTGCTGAATGGACTTGAATTTTGTCTTTCTGATAACGGTGAGAACTTGAAGAATTTTGTTTTGATGCTGACAATTATCTATCTTTTGGGCGGTCGTTTTTTAATTTGTGAATCTTCATACTCACGTTACTTGCGTTTCTGTATCTGAGATATCTTAGCATTAGCGTCTCTGTAAGGTTAGACCCAGCAAATCTGTTAATTAATGTTTTTTGATATTTTCTTTTTGCAAAAAAGCTGAATTTCTTGTTTTAGTTGTCAACGGTCTGTGTCTTTAGGCTAAATATTTAATGAACAGAGTGTGTACAAACGTTATGATGATCACTGTGTGAACCAAGTTTTAAATCTCGAGACACGTAACTTGCGTCTTTCTTTCTTTCTTTCTTTCTTTCTTTCTTTCTTTCTTTCTTTCTTTCTTTCTTTCTTTCTTTCTTTCTTTCTTTCTTTCTTTCTTTCTTTCTTTCTTTCTTTCTTTCTTTCTTTCTTTCTTTCTTTCAGAAAAACGTTGGCAGTCATTCATCAGGTGGATCACAGAAGCCACAAATAATTACCAGCCATGCAGTCAGGAGAACTGCAGCTGTCATCTGAGGTCAGCAAATATAAATAGTATCTTACAATAGATTATCCATATACATGCAGCTGTACAGGTTGAAAGACTGTATAATGTAGACTTTCCTCCATCACGCTTTTGATTGCAGTGTCATGAAAGATGACCTTAGGCCATTTAAAAATGGCATATCTGAGGGGCTCATGGCAGACACAGTCCAAAGAGGTGTTGGTACGCACTACCAGGTAATAGGTAACAAGCTGTACAGAGAACAAAGCTGCATGTTTCCAGCAAGGTTGGTGAAGTGTAATTTTTTTAGTAAAATCATGATCCTGTCATGTGCAAATAGGTGTTGAATTTCAGACAATTATCCTTTCTTTGCAGATGCAGCGGTGTTGAGCACTTCATCCTAAAAGTGATTGACAGGTTGCCAGATTTGGAGGTGGTGATTAATGTGCGTGACTATCCACAGGTTCCTGGATGGGTTCAGCCAGTCTTGCCTGTACTTTCCTTCAGTAAGGTGTGTACCATGTACCCCAACAAAGTGCCTAAGAACAATCTACTTAAATTGATTTTATGGTATATCAGTAGCTTGACTATATTAAGGCATTTACTTGCATTACTTGTGACTCCGCCTTTAGATTATTAAAACTGATCCACTGAAACACCCCTGTTAAAACACCCCTCTTATTTGCTCCAGATATATTAAATTGCAAGGGCATCTCCTGTGCACAGCCCTCTTCAGGTCTCCCACAAGATTCAGGTCTGGGTTTTGGCTGGGCTATTCCAAAACATGAATCTTTATTTGCTGAAGCCATTCTTTTGTTGATTTAGATGTGTTTTTGATCATTGTCATGCTGAAAGGTGAAAGTTCTCTTAGCTTTCTAGCAGATGGCAAAAGGTTCTGTGCCAAAATCAACTGCTACTTGGAGCTATTTGTAATTCCCTCCTCCTCCACTAAACAACCAGTACCAGCTGAAGAAAAGCAGCCCCAAAGCATGATGCTGCCACCACCACCATGCTTCACCGTGGGTATGGTGTTCTTTTGCTGATGTGCTGTTGTTTTTGTGCCAAACCTACCTTTTACAATTTTGGCCAAAAAGTTCAATCTTGGTCTCATCAGATCATAACACATTTTTTTCCACTTGGTTTTGAGAGACTTTAAAACCAGGGTTGGTGTTGGGGTTGGGGTTGGGGTTGGGGGGGGGGGGGGGGGGGTGAGTGAATGCTCTCTGCCCACGCAAGGTCTCTCGCTCGCTCTATGCGGTTTGGAGCACAATCTCTGTCTCGCATGCACGCTCGCTCTAGATTGCGGGAGATTTTTAACGAATTTGCGGTATAACTAGTCGATCACGAGTGGCTCAACAGGTAGATCTGTAGATAAACTCATCTTTCAGGCATTTGACCGGCCGGGTTGACACTTCAGCGTGAGAAATCGGGAGTGTGGCGTGTGAGCTTGTGAAACCATTAAATGCGGGTGTCTCACGGCCAATGCGTGAGAGTTGGCAGCTCTGTTAGGCCGGAGACACACTGGCTGCGTGGCGTGAGCGTCTCAGCTGCGTGGCGTGTCCGTTTTTATTTCGGCTCCCATGTTAACAGGTTAGAGCTTGCACACTGTCTGCGTGACACGCGCGTCTCAGGCGCGGCATGAGCCGCGCGGAAAACGCGTGCATGCTAGAAATAGAACCGACGCCTATTTTTCACGCGACACGCAAGCGTGTTGAAAGCGTTTGCAGGCAAAATAGTATAGGAAAAGATGTTTATATGTCATTTTTTACACGAATACATATTAATAAATTACATTTTGATGTTTGAAAATCTAGGATTTGACATAAATTCAGATATAAATGTCTTTTTTTTTAATCCCATTATTTTTGCCTATATAATTTCATCCCATTTTATTTTTTAAACAGTCGAGTCCTGGTGTCCACTACAGAGGTCATAGCATATGAATAAAATATAGCCTATATATATTTTCATTTGTTTCTAATGATCTTAACAATGTGATTACATGAAAAAAAAATCAAAAAAATTCTTTGAAAAAAACTTTCTGGGCCTCAGGAGGATATAAAGTTAGGATAGGCTACCATAACATCGTGTGTCTTCTGAGTGACGGTCCAACATCAGGTAGGCTAAATATAGGCTCTTTAAAGCTACACAAAATTTGTAAATGTTATTGAAATAAACAGACAGCCGCATGTTTCCCTATTTTTCGGATTTTGGAAGATGCGTGATAAAAGTTGAAATTGTTGTCGTAAAGGCAAGAGCAACAGTAATCCAAATGTAGACTGGTCTGTCGGCGCCCTCCCTCTATGTCACATATAGCGAATATGTATTCGTGTACGCCACGCAGCGCCGCGTCAGACACGCTTCTGGTGTGCAAAGACACAGAAAACGCGATGCAGCCGCCACGCAGCTGACACGCAACAGAAACGCCACGCTCACGCCACGCAGCCAGTGTGTCTCCGGCCTTATCGTGTGGAGCTATGTCTACCGAGTGGGTAATACATCATACACAGTATCATAGAATTATGTCGAATTGCAATAAAGCAGTTTGTGTTTCTCGCTCGTTCTCGCTTCTCACGACACTTCTATTTCCAACTTACCGGGACGTTAGTCCCCATATTGCAAGGTTGGTTCCGCTGGGAGCAGCGGGGAAAGTCACCATTCTCTCCAGAACAGGTTATTGAACCATTCAAATTATTTCTAAACAGTTTTATTAAGTTGAAATAGTTGCCAAGTGCCCCTCTAAGAGATATTTTTAGCCGGGATTAGATATTTTTTAGTCAGAAAAGGCTTGCATCTTGCCAACCTGCCCCATTGCCCAGACAGATGGAGAATATGAGAGATCTGTGTCACCTGTAGGAAGCATCGGTACTTGGCAGAAACAGCAGCAACTATTTTGCAAGCCACTTGACAGCTTCCCTTACCAGTTTTCTCTTTGCCTTTTGGAGGGATGCTCTGTTCTTGGTTGTTTCTGTTCTTGAATTTTATAGTTGTGCCATACTTTCTCTACTTGTTAATTACTATCTTCACTGTGTTCCATGGTATATCTAGTGAGAGCACATTGATGCTACGTAAGCTCTTTGTGGCCCATGGCTCTTGTAGTAGTATGCAACCAAGAAGATGTCAGAAAAATCTTACAGGAACAGCTAAGATTTATTAGGAATAAATCAGTAATTTCAGGTGAAGCCAGGTGTGTACTATTTGATTTATTTTTATTTTGAATTAGGTGCAAAAGTTCTGACGTGATTTATCTTTGTTTTATTTTTTTTCATCACAAAAAACGTGTGTGTGTGTTTTAAAGCAGCTAAAATCTTTAAAAAACCCCCCACAATTTTGGCTTTGGTAATGACACCAGCATCTATCAATACTAAATCTATACAATAGGTGACAAATAACCAGCCTCAAAAGATAACCGAGTTGAAAGCAAATCTATTAAGAACACTGCATGAAACTGCTGTAACAAATGTGTTGCTTGTTTTCAAGAATAAATATAAATAGTTCTCAGTCCTCCATACTCAGTATACTAGTTTGTATATCACATGGTGCAAACTGGCACAATAAAATCAAAATGTAACAATAAAATAAACTTGTCGCTGATGGTACTTCTGGAAAAGTAAGCTGGTGACCTTGAATATGCTTTTATTCTTTTCTGTGGGTGTCAAAATGAGAAATAATGAAATGACATATAACATTAGCTGTTATACATCGAACAGTGAATGATCAGCATTTATTAATCTTGGTTTAGATTTAAACGACAAACAAATTGTATTAATTAATGTTTGAGTTAATATTAGTTTAATTCATCAAATAATGTTACCTTGCAAAACATGCATTATTTATAAATATAATATTTTTAGGTCAGGTTACCTAATGAATGTTGACGAAGGTAGCTTTATTGTAAAGTGTTATTGTAAACATTCATATTAATAATATTCATATTTTACTAAATTCAATTTAATAATATCTTTATTCATTCAAGCAAATTCAGTTAAAATCGCAAGTGCAAATATTAGGAGACCTAAACATCATTGGTTCTAGCGTGTGCGGAGGCAACACATTATTTTTAGCAACATTTATGACTTTTTTCATCTCTTTTGTAGGCAAAGTAATGCCAAATTTCTCTTCTACTGCCCTCCTTATTAATTACCTTGGGGCGTGTAGAGCAGGACCAGGCAGGGGTGTGCTGAGCCCACCCAAACGTCTGCTTTGCCCACCCAATTAGAATTTAGGCACAGATAGTGTTAATCTGTTTCTTACAATCTGAAGGGGGCTGTGTTCAGAAATTTGATGAAGGGTTGTAAAATGCCCCAACCAATCAAAAAAAATTAAATAAACTTTTGCAGTATTTCTCTTTTATTAGCTGAAAATAACGGCACGGTGCATCATACATTCAAGAGGCGGCTTCATGATTATGTATCTTCATATTTACTTGACTGACTGATATTTATCTTCATATTTAGGGATTGATTTTAAAATGTCTTTTGGGATTCTCTAAAATGGGTCATACCATTGCAATTACCTGAGCAGTTGAAATACACTAGAAAATGTCTAGGTTACGACTGTAACCTCTGTTCCCTGAGATGACACTTTGGGGAACGCCTCAGGCGTGACGTGTCAGAAATCACTATCAAATCACGGCAATCATATTGACCGGCGACAGCCCGTGAATCATTAGTGTGAATGATTAACGTGCGACCTGGAAGTATAAAAGGTCGCCTTGCAAACCTGGCAGGCCCCGAGGCATGGCGAAAGACGCAGTGTCAAGTTCCCTGTTCTCAGGGAACAGAGGTTACAGTCGTAACCTGGACGTTCCCTTTCGAAAGGGAACTCGCACTGCGTCGATGGCGCTTTGGGGAACGATATACCAACGCCACCATGCTAAGGGGTGGGCCTGCCATAGGCAGTGACAACTGTCAGAACCAGCAAGTTCAAATGAAATGCCAGAACCACTCACCCTCAGGTCACACTGAGCTGTCAGCATTCCCTACTGTAATAGCCCAAGCTATATGCTTCACAGGAAAACCTCCTTAAACTTTGTTTGATGAGAGGCATACCTAGGCCTGCTCAAGGGCCTAGGACCACAGCTTCAAACTAGAAGGGGTCCCTTCTAGGGAATGTGGCTAGGGAACCCTAAGGAACCCAGCCAGTCACTATTCAGGGGAACGTACCACCCAAAATGCCACCAGGACGGCCTGACCTGGTGTCACTTACATTGGACACTTCAGTCTGGCCACTTCCTTTCTGTCTGAAGACAAAGCCTCTGGACACTTGTCTTTAGGTAAGGCATCCAACCCGAGGGACTGCAAAGCTGGCAGTGAACCACTCGGCCCGGATTTCAGAGACGGGGTATCCTGGAGAGCATGACTCAGCATAGTGCTTACAACCCTTGCTAGCGAGGGGAGTTTCTCTGCTCGATCAACGGGTCTACCCAGCGCTTATGTTTCAAAGCACTGAGGAGGCCTGAGAAGGCCTAAGGACTGAACTAACTGGGAGGCTTCACGAGAAGCCTACGAC